CAGGACCACATCCACTTTAAGGGCAGCCACGACTCCACAGCACATAACAACAACAACAAGTACAATATGGAATCTTGGTGTGGTGCTGCAGGATAATACACTGGACCGAAGGTGGGTTTAAACCACACAGTCAGTGGGTCAGCCTCACCAGCTGCTACTTGGAAATCCATTACAGGGTTGCTGTGAGTCGGAACCAACTGAATGGCCCTTAACAACAACAAAGTGCAAAAAAATGTACTAGTATGGTGCTGTAAGATAAGCACTGGACTGCTCAGAGCAAGTCAAACCCACCAGGTGTTCCTTGGAAACCCTTTACAAGATCGCTGTGATTGGGAACCGACTGGACAGAACTTAACAACAACAGCATAGTAAGATAGGGCAGCAGGATAGTTTTGTAGGATAAACATTGGATTGTGAACCACAAGGTCAGAGGTTGGAGCCCACCAGCTGCTCTATGGCAGAAGGATGAGATTTTCTGCTCCCACAAAAATGGAAAGCCTTGGAAAGCCTACACAGGGTCGGAACCAACTCCAGGGCATTTAACAATAATAGAAGGAATAAATAGAACAGTGAAAAAGAGAAAGCTGTATGTGTGTAAATGCACATGTATGAATTTGGTGAGTTGTTTTATAAGCTGGGAGATGGTATGCTTTGCTGTTATAAAACTGTTATGTACTTTAGTTTATAAGAACTATAACAACCTTTACATATTCTCAAAGCATTTGAGAAAAGAAAAAACCCACTGATGTATCTATATCATAAGTGATTTAAATGTTTAATGTTTGAATTTTAAGAGAAAGTAGACTGACTGGAAGGACAATAACGTGGCGAAACTGTTGAAAGAAACATCCCTCTCTGTACACTTGAGTGCTCACTTTTTTCCTCCTGGAGTTGCTTTGTTATTGCAAATTGACAACTTTGCAATTAAAGTGATTAATGATATACTCTAGTGTTTATGGGTCTTGAGGTCAGTGGACCCAAAGATGGCCATGCTGTGGGAAACTTAGATAGAGCTTATCTCATAGAGGAAGAACCAAAATTCTTTTCCTTTCTCTTCGATTGTTTATGAGTTAAGTATGCTAGATATGGTTGAGTCACCAAGACATAATGAGTAATGTGAACAATCATATTAATTGTAATTGTCTTGCCTTAAACCCTAATGCAAACATTCTTAGGCAACTTTAATAACTAAAAACGTTATTTTATAAACTAGTATTAGAAAAAGTATATTAATTAATGAAAAGTGTATTTGTAGCACCATTCACTGGATTCATGTTTATAGTGTTATTTTACTATACATTATTCTAATCAGAGCCTCACAGCACTGGGTTTTAGTTCAGTCCTTTATAACTTAGAATTCCTTTCAGCTAACAAGTTCTGAAATTGATTGGAATGTGTCAGGGATTTTAAATTTGAATACTACTGTTAAACAAATCAATCAACTCTCTAGCCACACTGCCTGCTTTGTTCCTTCAGTTTTGTGAGCTGAGGATACTACTGAGTTAAGGCACTGGTAGCTTCTCATCATGACTTACTTAACTGCAGTGGCTTCACATTAAGGAAAGAGAACAAAAAACAAATTGTTAAGCCTATGGCACCAGGCCATTACCAGGATCTCTGCTGGGTTGATACACACCACACAAAAGTGACTACTGATGATCATTGTAGTTGAAAGGGAAGTGTATATTATCTTATCTGTGAGAATTTGAAGAGAACAATGTAAAATTGCCTTTTTATAATTGTACCTCAATTTAAAAAATGGTTTATTTATTTAAAAAGCCTTTTAAAAGTCTTCCCTTTCTAGAAGTATATAGCATTTCTCAGATACAGGACCATTTTATATTTTATAAAAATTTTTCTTAAAAAATTATAATATTTTTTATAAAACAAAGCAAAATAACTAATTTTTTTAATTTTGGGAAATTATATTATTTCTTTTCATATACTAGGGTTTTCTCCCCAGGGAATATAAGAAATGTATATTATCTAGTTTTATTTGAAAAAAAATAGTATTTTACTCCTTAAATATTGATAAAGTTTTTCTTAAAGTGAAGATATTTTATTAGATAAGTTCAATACAAGACTAATTTGATAAGTATTTTGTATAGCAAATGATTTCAAGAATTTTAAGAACTCTTAATTTTTTCTTTTTCTTCTTAATTGGGAGTCACTTTTAGGAGAGTTAAGTAAACATTTTCAGACTTTACAGAGTTTCTTTAAATGTTTCTTTGTTTCCTAAGTAAAGAAATCACCTTTAGATGATTTCTTCTTGAGGAAGTTAATGTCTGAGAAGCCCTGTGCTGTAGCTCCTTGTGTAACTTTAACTCTTTTCAGGTATTTTTGACAGCAGACCTTTTTAGTTTATTTCCTTTAAAAGCAGTTTTCCATAAAACATTCTTTCAAAAATATTCTTCCTTATTATAAAAAATTGCACAATTGTGTAGAGAATATGGAAAACACATGTTCAAAAGAGAAAGAACAAATGTCATTCAGAGAGACAGTCCATTAAAACATAGATTTGTTTCTGTCTACTCTTTTGCATGCAATGGTCATGCTGTGTATGCTATTTTATATCTCCTTTTTCCCTTAGTCGTCATAGCATTTTATCTTGCTGCGCAAAATCCCTTCTAAGATTGATTTTGATTCTTTCATAATATATCATACAGTTAGCCATTTCCTCATTTTTGTATATTTAATAAATTGTATAGAATTTTTCACTATTATAAATTATACTGTAGTGAACAAATAATTTTTATATATGCCTTTACCATATTCCAGGTTATTTTCATATCATAGATTTGCAGAAGTTGCTTATTAAGTCAAAGAGCATGAGGATCCTTGAAAGCTTTTTGATTATCATTGCTGTTAAGTGCTGTTGAGCCAGTTACAACTCACACTGCCCATGTACAGCATTTTTGATGATCAGCTTGTAAGTTTGAACCACCAACCTTGATGTTAGCAGTCTAGTGCTTACCCTACAGTGCCATTCCAGGACCCAGTTTTTATTATGTATTTCAAATTTCCAGATCCACAAAAGTTATAGTAGCATAAGAGTCTGTAGTTGTACTTAAATATAAGGTTTATATAGCATACTGATCTTTTATAATGTAATTAGTTTATGTTGTAGATCTTAAAATGTTTATCCAAATACTTTCATTGTGAAAAAGTTATTTTCCGTTAACACTACAAAGCAAAGTGTCACCCACATTAAAATAAAGACCATTGTAACATAAGAGTTCAGAAATGACATGCTTTAAATTGTGGACCCTGTAAACAATTAGAGCCCTGTTGTGACACTGTGGTATAAAGCACTGGACTACAAAGTCAGTGTGGGTGGTTCAGACTCACCAGTTGCTACTTGGAAGCCATCTACAGGGTCTCTGTTATTCTGAACCAACTGGATGACTGGATGGCACTTAACAACAACAGCAATCAACAATTAGATAGACTCCTGGTGTGGCACTGTAGGATCAGCACTGGACTGTGAACCACAGGTCAGCAATTCAAACCCACCAGCTGCTTCTCGGAAACCCTATATAGGGTCACTATGAGTCAGAACTGACTTGACAGCACTTAATGTGTAGTGAAATCTACCCGTGGTTTGAGAACATACTGCCCCTCCTTTCTCGGATTGCTTTAGTGTGCATGCCATTACATGTATGAGACTTTATTAGGCAAGCAGGATAAGCTGGCTTAAAGTTCAAATTAATTATTTTTAATATAAAATTTCAAGGCTTTTTGTAGAAGTTCAACCTATGATGTATATTAGAACTCCTGATTATTCTATACTTTTTCAACAGAGAATAATAAGTGTTTAGATTCCAAACTGAATTCTAGGCAGTCTGGGGATTTTTATTTATTATTATTTTTTAATCTCCATGCTCTGTAAATACTTTGTCAAGTCGATTCTAACTCTTAGCCACCCTGTATAGGGCTTTCAAGGAGTGACTGGTGTGTTTGAACTACTGACCTTGTGGTTAGCAGTCCAGTGTTTCTCCTACAGCACTACACCAGTACTCTCTTTAAGCACTAACACCTAGAAAAAAAATGAAGGCATTTGTGTTCATAGACAACAGGACATAAGCATTTTTAATCTAAGTTTGGAAATTTAATACTACTAAATAGTGGGTGTTTTTTCATTTTACAAATTATTTCTATATTGTTAGAAGTGCTCCATGCACCTTGAAATTTCTAAATGGAAAAGACACCATATTCTTAATTATGGCAAACTTTCAATAATGTCTTGGGTGGTTTTAATAAGTAGATCCTTTGTGATTACATACTATTGTGAAATTGCAATGAAAGGAAGATTCCACTGTTCTGTACTTGCACGTTTCCTTTGCTTGTTATAATAACCCTATATTCTAAGAGAGAAATTGTCTACTTAAGTGTAAACATGGAAAGTTATTCAAGTGCACATAATGTAATTTGATATTATAGTAGCTGAATGTGAGCATCTATTATGGATTCTGTTAAGTTAGCTAGTTGTTCAGTCGGTGTCTGCCCTAACTAACTAAAGTAGTTGTTACTGGAAAATTCACATGCTACTAAAATTGATTGCCATTCATTGCTAGGTTATGCCCAGAGAGACCCAGTATCTTATGCTGTTGTCTCCTATTTGTGATCTTTGTTTCTGTGAGTAAAATGATTCCATGGTTTATAGGAAACCATTCAAGAATCAGAAAATTATGTTTACTATACTTTTAGATGGGGAATAGTCTCAGTTTAAGTACTTAACTGTAGGTACAGTAGCAAGCAGGATTGATGTTCATTTGAGTTTGTAGAGAGCCAGAGGTTGCTAATGAGTAACTAATGTATAAGGGTATTGAGTCTTGTAGCATTTGACTTGCAAGAACTAAGAAGTAGATTATAAATAATGCAAACATATGAATTGTGAAACTGTTCATTCTGATGTCATATATTAAGTATATAATAGTAACAATTCTCTTTTAAGACATTTATAATTTGTAAAAATTCATGGGTTGTTTATTTTTTCCCAGAGCGTCTGCTACACCAAAGCCTGAGCCAGTTCCTGTTCAAAAGGTATGTTTCTAATCTTGCTTCTACCATTTGGTAATCCCTCCTGAATAATTTATAACCCTGTCTTGGGTTATATGGATATTTTATTTGTTAAGGGGCTTCAGAAAGTTCATGGAAAAATTCCATTATCTTTGAGTTACATTTTTCCATGAAGTTTTTTAAGCTCTCTCATACAATCTCAGTACAATCTTCCTCGTATTTATTTTACTAAAAGTATTAATGGGAAAAATGCAATTTACACATATAGACTTACTTTCTGTACTTTTATACTTGTGTGTATATATTATTTCCAAAGCCATACATTACCAAAACTATATGCCCAAATTTCTTATATTCGTATTCATATATTATGTAAGAAATTTAACTAAAATTAATGTTTCAGGGGACTTAACAAAACTTGTAGTAAAAGTATAGTTTTGATTCCGATATTGCATGAACTTTTTGAAGCCCCCTTGTATTTTCTAAAGGGTATAGATAAATGGTTACTGAAAATGTCTTTAACAACATTTTATTAACAATAAGTATTTAATTACTTTTTCAGAGTGTTTTGGATTAGTTTATTGTCTTTTACTCACATATGTTCCCAAATTTTCCTAAACTATTATTTGTATACATCTGTTTTTTTGCTTTTTGGGGACTTTCCCTTTATTTTGGCTTGCTCTGTTTCTGAGTAATGTATTATAATTGATTTGCTTAAACATTAAGCTACTGTTTTTCTTCATTACCTTTCTTATCCCTACAAGGTTAATTTATGTTTCCCTTAAAAGTAAATATTATATAGCATTATTATAAGCTTTTTAAAATGAGGATTGTTTTAGGGGGTGGTAAGGTGAGTAAAGATTTATTCTTGAATGTCATGAATGGTTACATTGTTGATTTTTTTTAAACTATAGACTTGCTTTGGCATAAGGATTTGCAAACACAAATTCTTTTAATTTTAGAAGGAATTGATCCTTCTTACTAGTCATTTTTTTCTTTGGCTGATGGCAGTGAGGAAATGTCTCAGTTCATTTTAATTCTCAGATAACTACTAAATGTGAAATATTATTTTGTAAATGAAGAGGGAAAAAAACTCTACTCCATCTCTGAGTCATATCTCAGAACTTTCGAAAGGGGGAAAAAAAACTAAAAAACAAAACAAAACAAAACACCAGGCAGATTACAGGAAAGGACAAGGACTGGTTCTGTTTTGTTCTTGAATTTGCTTTTTACTAATGTTTTAAAATAATTTTTTATTCAGGATAATTAATGTGCACATTAGATGTACATATTTCTGAGTTAGATAAAAATCATCCTACACCCTCTCATTTTTTTTAAATTGAGGAGTTAGAAATGTTCTACTTCTGAAACGAATAAGTATATACTAGAGAATTAAACATGTGTGAAAAATGGGATTAGAATTGTGACTATTTTAAAATTAAAATTGGTTAGCAATGTTTTATTTATTTTGGGATATTTAAAAACATTTCCTTTGGGATATATCTACATTGAACAACTATGATGGCCTTTATTTTTGATAATTTTCTAGCTTTATTTCATAAATATTTGAAAACTTCCCATATATGTATATTACACATACACTTAGTGTATACATCTGTGTTGTGCATGTTGAGACCAGTTAGCTTGCATGTTATGCTATAAAGTCTATGTTTTTATCTGGAAATGTGAATTTGGGCTGCTAATGTGGTTGCGTTTGTTTGTCTTTTTAAAAGTCAGCTATGTGTTCTTTTCAGTGAATATATATTTGCATGTATTTGGTTTGTTTCTGTGTATGTTTTATTTTTATTTTACATAGGGAGAGCCTAAAGAAGTAGTTAAGCCTGTGCCCATTACATCTGCTGTGTCCAAAGTCACTTCCACAACCAACATGGCCTACAATAAAACACCACGGCCCTTTGGTTCTATGTCTTCTCCAAAAATCACATCCATTCCATCACCATCGTCTGCCTTCACCTCAGCCCATGTGACCACTTCATCACATGCTTCCCCTCCACCCATGGCTGCTGTCACTACTCCCCCATTGGCTGCATCTGGACTGCATGCTAATGCCAGTTTTAGTGCTGACCAGCGTTCACCTGCACTGAGCGCTGTTAAAACTGCAGTTAATGTCCCACGGCAGCCCACAGTCACCAGCGTGTGTTCCGAGACTGCTCAGGAGCTAGCAGAGGGACAGAGAAGAGGATCCCAGGGTGACAATAAACAGCAAAATGGGTAGGTGACCAAGGGTACTTTCTGCTCTTGTCAAAGACTCTTCTTTCAGGAAATTTCCATGAAACAAATTGACAACATGAAAACATCAGGTATTTTTTGAAGGAAGGGATATAAAGTTTTATTTGCTTCATTAACATGTGGCCTTTATAATATATAAATGCAGCACTTTCGGCAAGGCAATTACATGTTAGTCATAACCTAATTATGCATTTTGACATGCTATGAACCATATAACATGCTGTGTAACTCTGTAAGTTATGTTACAACTTTGAGCAGCTGGCACTTGTAATGCAAGGCAAATGTTGGATCATTTTCTTCCTCAAATTTTACATCCTTTTGTTGGTCACTCAACAGAACTTCTAGTTGTCTTTACCTTACGTAGCGCACATTGAGGAAATAGGAAATGAATTTATAAGCAGCTTTTTTCCACTAAGAAGTAGTTTTAAGAAAACAGAAAATAAGTGTAATTTTGATTCAAGTCTGATGCATTAGCTTAGAGCAGATCTCTAGTAACATACTTTTTAGATAAGCCTAAGCCAGAATTTATTCTATAAAACAGATAGTAATATACAAAGGGGCTTTCCAAAAGTTTGTGGGAAACATGGAATTAAAAGATAATGGAATATTTCCATGAACTCTTTTTGGAGCTGCCATGTATATATCATTTGCAACAATTAAAAAACAAACAAACTGACAGTACAGATAAAAATAATAAAAGCGCCGAACCAAATAAGAAAATAGTTTCATTTAAAAAAATCCTTCTAAAATGAATTAATATAAACCAGTAAACTCCAAATATATGCTAGAAGAATTTTTAAAAAATCTATTCCTCAAGTTTTTTTCTGTAAAAGAATTTTTAAAAAACTCTCTTGTTAAAATCATAGTTGTAAAATTATAAAACTTCATATAGTTAAAAAAATTATAGTTATAAGATTGCATTACTTATTTTTATTAGCCTTTATTTATAGATTTCCATTTATAGATTTTATTCTTTTTGGAATTTAGAAGCCATTTCTGAAACCAAAGTTGTTTCTGCAAAATCATTTTCATCAGATTTTTTTTGTGACAAAAATGTAGTTTGAAAGAAAAAACAAGGGAGAGATAATCTGTGTGCGTGATGGTTTTTATCAATGCCAGCTGCCAAGAGAATAAAATAATTGCTTGGATAGGTCTTTTTTATGAGATAATCCCTTCCGAATGTTAATTCATGTAATGAAGGGACTGTGCTTTCTGTAGCATTGCTGCCATGGCAACTTTTAGACTTTGAAAGAGAAGGTGGCAGGATTCCAGGCTGCTGCCAGAGAAAGCTGGAGGTCTGGGAAGAACAGCTACTGGGCCTTACATATGGTTTTGTGGTTGTAGGAGGCTTTCTATTTAAAGTTTTGATGTATATATTGAGAAAAACTAGTATCCATCAAAGAATGTTATTTCTTCCTTTATGTAAGGACGAGAAATCATATGTAGTTTGTAGGTGTGATTTTTAAATTTTGTGTTTGTGTTTTGCTTTTTGCTTTCTATTTTAAGACAATAGTTTTTAGAGTAATCAAAGAAGATAATCCTAGAAAGAAAGACTGCTACATGTCAAATACTAACCTTAAAGAAAATCAAACGAAGTCTCCTATATTTGTTAAGTTCCAGGATCAGTAGAAATAAGCACATTGAAGAAAGTGTCTTAACAAATCTTTTCTGCTGAATAACACTGTTGACATTTCATAAGGAAGACTTCTTAATGGGAAATTGTAGAGATAAAGGCAAATCAAGGTTTTAGAAAAGTTGCTATTTAAAACATATGCAAATCAAGCTTAGCTTTTGTGTTTTATCAGTATAGGATGATAAAGCTTAATTATCTAAATAAAGTATGTTATTTTCAAACTGAAACTGTAGGCAGTGGAATAGTTGCAGACCCTTTATGCTCACCTGTTAAACAGTCGACAAGTGAGTACTGGACATATGCTTAGCACTGTACAAGATTCTGGGAAAAAGGAGTATTCCATTTTTTTGCATCACTAAGACGCAAGTAAATACTTTGCATTTGCAAACTGGCTGTACTTAAAAATAGATTTCAGATGTTGTCCAGATGCTAGGAAAATGAGAACTTGACCACACTGAAACAAAGTCTGGTATCTGAATTGCTAAGACAAATTTACGGTGTCCTTTCTCTCACTACATTTAGATTGCTGTTGTTGTTAAGTCAGCTCCAACTCATAGCAACCCTGTATAGAGTTTCTGAGGAATGGTGGGTGGGTTTGAACTGCCAAACTTATGGTGAGTAGTTCTGCACTTATCCTATGTTGCTACGCCAGGTCTCCACATTTACATTGTTGTTTTTTGTTAAGTGCCATAAAGTTGTTTCTGACTCATATCATAGCACCCTGTGTAGGGTTTCTGAGGAGCAGCTGGTGGGTTTGAACAGCCACCTGGAGTTCAAATTGACCTTGCAGCCCAGTGCTTATCCTACAGTGTGACACCAGAACTCATTTAGATTGTTGTTGTTAAGTGCCATTGAGTCGGTTCTGACTCATAGAGACTTTGTATAGGGTTTCTGAGGAGCCACTGGTTAGTTTGAACCACCGACCTTGTGGTTCAAACAGATCTTACGGTCCAGTGCTTATCCTACAGTGTTACAGAGGCATAGAAAAATAAATCACACACTTTAATAGTTAGTGATAATGTCATTTAAAAAAGCATTTTATGGTATTTGCAGATGCATATTCTGCATCAGATATCGAACTTTTTACTTAAATCAGAGTCAACTAGGTATCATTTTTTACTAGTTACATGATTATTGTATTTCTTGTATTTTTATAGTGTTGCAAAAGATCTTCAACAAAACTCTTAAAGTTTGAGAGTTATTTATTAACTGCTTTTTGTTTTTTAAAATATTAAATGTCCATGAACAACAATTTAAGCTATCAGAAGGATAGCTTTTAACTGTATAGCTTTTAACTTTATAGTTAAAAGTTTGCTTTTTTCCTTCAAAACACTGGAGGATTGTTAGTCTTCAAGTCATTTAAAATAGTTAATTTGTCAGGCTGATAGGCATCTGACTCAAAATTGAATAGGAGTAATAAACAAAAGAGACAAACAAGCAACTGCTTATAAAGAGATAATTAGCTATTTATTCTAATACAGTAAAGTAAAATCTATACTTTTATTGATATTTTAAAAATATCTACTAGTAATACTATGTAGACATTCCTAGTCCCTCTTATAAATAATAGTGATTAAGGCACTTGAATAAAAATCTTAAATCTTTTGCCTATGTATATACACAAATTAATGTCTAGGCTTACTGCTTTCTTTACTGCTACCCTTAGAACAAAATGGTACTTTATATTCCTCAGTGGAAGGGAATCTATTTCACATCAAGTATTTTAAGTGATTTTCCTTTTCCTCTCCATATATATATACCCTTGCATTATAACGTGTCACTGCTTTCAAGAGGTAAGTCCTTTACGTATTCTATATGTTAATTTCATTGGACTGAAATTTCTTCTAACAGTTCCTACGTGTATTTTGAAGAACCTGGTTGTAGAAGATTAAAAAATGATATGTTAGTAATGTGTTTTAAATGTTTTTCTCTTTACAGAGAACACAAGTGACAAAGTTAGTATCCACATTACTGGAGAGGAAATATGGTGATTTATGTATGAGTAAACAGCATGAATGCCAATTTTTGCAAAATTCAATTAAGTTTTGCAAAAATAATTGTAATTTAGAATAACTACATTCAGTGTTTCAATAAGCTTGTTTTGCTTTGTTACCTTGTGGTGAATTGCTCTATAGTAATAAATGATAGTCTTTCACTTATTTCATAGAATATATGTTAAGTTTGCTGTGTGATGATTTGCAAGATGTAATGCTTGAGGGGATGGAATTTATAGATTAAGACTGCTAGAAGATAAAAGATAAGGTAGTAGGGTCAAAAGCCTATACATTTTTTTTACCACTAGTTAATAGTTGTTATGTGCCATTGAGGCAGTACCGACTCATAGCGACCTTATGCACAGCAGAATGGAACACTGCCCGATCCTGGACCAACCTCACTATTGTTGCCATGTTTGAGCCCATTGATGCTGCCACTTTGTCAATCCATCTTGCTGGATTTTTCTTTGACCCTCCACCCTACCAAACATGATATCCTTCTCCAGCGACTGGTCCCTCCTGACAATATATGCGAAGTATGAGAGATGAGGTTTGGCCATCCTGGCCTCCAAGGAGCACTATGGCTGCACTTCTTCCAACACAGAACTGTTGGTTCTTTGGGCAGCCCATTGCACTTTCAATATTCTCCTTCAACACCATAATTCAAAGGCATCAATTCTTCTAAGGTCTTCCTTATTCACTGTCCAGCTTTTGCATGCATATGAGGTTATTGAAAATACCATGTCTTGGGTCAGGCGCACCTTAGTCTTCAAGCTGAGACTTGAAGCTGAGACTTAATGTGTGCTATTAACTACTAGTTAATAGCATATATTAAACTCAGTTGATTTTAAAATTGGTATCAGAGACCAGTGTTTTCTTGGTAAAGCCTCTAGGAACTTTCATGATTCTTTATAAAGTGTAAATGATGTCAATCATGGGTTTAAACCTGTATACACTCAGTTGTATTTCAGTGAATGGTAAGAAGTCTGTATACCTTTGAAGTTTTATGAGTGATAATTACCAACTTATTAAAGGTCACAGTTAGTTGGTTTAAGGAATGGAATCACTGTGGTATAACTTTTTAAAATCCTCACCTTTGTTATGTAGGTGACTTGTTAATACAAGTTTTATGAAGAGAACAAAATCGCATTGGATAAGAGCTTAAAATAATTTAATATTTATTTTTTATTGCTCTGAGCATGTTGTGGTTAAGTGTATCATCACACTGTAGAGTAGACTTGGAAGTAAAGAATATCTATCTTGGACATATCCAAGAGAATTATTAAATTATGAAACTAGCTTCATACCAATATGACTGTGGTCTTACTGAATAGTTTGATGTCATTATTTAGCAT